GTCCTTCTGTTCCACTTGACCCATCCACCCCACCCCCATGCCCTGTCCTATGTGGTAACCTCCACAAAAGGTAGAGCAGCGAGGAGCCACTCAAGTCTGTGAGGAGCGCCTGTGGAGAACTGCCCTTCCTACCAATGACGAGTAATTTGTTTCACCACCATGTGAGCACAACTTAAAAAAATTTGAACTTAGGGCTATTATCCAAAACCTGAAATTCTTCTCATTCCACAAGGAAAGATAAGGCTTACAACATAAACATAGCCAGAGCAAGCATTCTCCAAGCTCATTAACGCCCTCGAAGAAATAAATGGCTTGACATGGGTCATTTCTTAGAAATGGCTTTGAAAAGTAGGGACAGGAAGGTCAAGGGCACTAAAGGGGGAGTGAGAAGAGGGGAAAGACTAGGGTCTCCGAAGAGAAACTGCCTCCTCACCAGCACCCTGAATAAGGTGAGATTTAGCTGCTTCTAGACTGTTCCGCACAGTTTTGTTTTATTTGTTTCTTATTGGACCACAAAGCCAACTTCTGGGTTTTCAAATGGGCAAGGATGCCTTTGGGTAGCACCTGCTCAGACAAAGATGAACAGGAACTAGGTCGTTATAAACATATATAGCAGAAAAAGATTTCAAACCCTGCTTTATTCTGCCCATTATTATATCATGTAATCAGGCTAACATTTATATTAATATAGCCCATTTGACTGAAGCATTCAAAGTGAAAGAGGAACTGTAGTGGGTTTGCAGAGAGCAACAAAATCAGTTTCCTGAATACTCAGCACTATTGCATTATCAGCCATCAGAGAAACATTGAAAGACACAATCAACACTCTTGCTAAAGGAATTTTCATACTGGTATGATCGCTTCCAAAAATGGGGAAGTTGGGTTGCGTGTAGCAATACAGTCCTTTTTTGAATTTTCTCCTTCATGGTGAATAAAGAGCAAAGAAAGAGAAGAGGTATAATGTATACATACATATATTTTTAAAGGAAGATTGTGCCCCCCCCCTGATACACACTGACTGGGTTAATGTGTACTTGACAAGATTAACGGCTGCATAATAATTGCCTCTATTGTTTACTGTCTGGCTGCCGGCCAGACGTCTTCCTGTTCTGCCCACCAGTGGGTTTGGTTTGTAAGAAATGTGGTAAGAGGCTAATAGGGTCTATGTGCCACGTGCAAGCTTACTAAAGGCGTTTAAAAAGAATCCCCAGGGAGGCCTGGAGCCTTTGGCTCTGGTGGAGTGAGACTCCTTCACATTGCAGGGAGTCTCGCTTCAAAACTGCTGGGTAAGCTGTGCCAAAACGCAAGGAAGTCCAGCCTGGCTGAATCACGCCAGTGAGGGGTGAGGACAGAGAAAGCCTGGGGACCTATGGGATGGCCTGGTTGCTGCCCTGTCCGCTGAGTGCTGCGTTCCTTTGCTCTTCACACTGGCCTTGCTGGGAAGCACCTGGCTTCAACCTGCAAGCTCTATGGGATGTAAGAGGCTTCCCTCCCTATGCTGCCCGACCCATCCTCTTCCTAAACTCTCACTCTTGCCTTGTGAAATGTGAGACAAGCAAACCAAGACATAGAACAATAAAGCACACATATAATTTACATGGATGGGTACCATGGCCCAGCTGCTCCCTGGCTCACCGCATCTCCTCCAGCCTGTCACAGTGATTGACAGGGTTTTCTCTACAGAAACCAAAGCCCTGTAATTCTTTCTCACACAGCTTTGTTCTGGTCCGGGTCACATGTTCCCCTCGACTACCTTACCCATCATGGCTTTCCTTATTTCCTGACAAGTCAATCTCAGATTTCTGACATCCAAGGAGACGCTCCCAGAGCACACCCTGCTCTGTCTTTCCCGTCTTCTTTTCCTACACTACTTTGCTGTATAACCTCCAAGTTTTCTTCTTTCTATCCACTGTCTCTCAGTGAAAGTGAGTATCCCTGATTCATAAACCTGAAATGCAAAATGCTCCAAATCCCAAGCCTTTAGAGCACTAACAATGATTCTACATTTGAATACAGTCAAAACTCAGACATACTAAAAATACTGTGTAAAATTATCATATATAGTCGGGTGGCGGTGGCCCAAGCTTTTAATCCCAGAATGCAGGAGACTGAGGCAGGTGGATCTCTGTGAGTTCAAGTCCAGCCTGGTCTACATAATGAGTTCCAGGACAGCCTTCAAAACAATACAGAGAAACCCTGTCTCAAAAAAAATAACCATATGTACACACATATACATACGCACACACACACATATAATTCATGGATGAATTGTGTGCTTAGGTCTAGGCCCCTGTGACCAAGATATCTCATTATGTATATATAAATGTTCTAGAATCTGCTGGGGGCATATCCAAAATCTGAAGTCTTCTTGGTGCCAGCCTGTTCAGATAAGGGATGTGGCACCAGTACCATCAACTCCTATCTCTCTGCCTCTTATCTTTCACCATCTCCCCGTCACACACTCTCACACATTTCATACTCCTCCTTCTCAATATTCATTCCTCCCACCATTAGATAATTATTTGCACAGTCATGAACTTAATGACTTTCTCCCTTGCTGGACAGTAAATTCACTAGAAGCAGGGATCACACATATGGCACTCTATGGCACGGGTTAACAGTCAGTTAGTCATGGTATTAATGAACTGAACTCCACTTTCAGCCTCTCCAACTTAGTATGTTCTCAGTAGCAATCACTGAGGTAACAGGTGGGCTTTGTCATTCTCCCTGCTTGATCACCACTGTCTGAATCCTGATCACATCACTCCTGCTACTTCAAGGCTTCTTGACAGAAGGCCCCTTCATTGATCCTTTGTGTGGCTCACAAGTCCAAACACAATTTTTTAATTGCCTGGAACTAAGAATCCTGCTGGCTTCATTGGCCATTATTAACTGATTTATTTGACATCTTTACTTCTATATCCTATGCATGAAAGAAAAATAATTATTGCTGTGGAATATTTCTTTACACTGTGTGAATATATATATATATGCATACATATATATATACATATATATATATATATATCACTGGGATTGGTTTAATAAAGAAGCTGACTGGCCAATAGCTGAACAGAATAAGGTTAGGCAGGAGAGCCAGACTGGGAGAGTGCTAGGAGAAAGCAGGGTAGAGTCTGGAGTCGCCAGCTAGATGGAGGATGAGTTGGACATACAAAATGGGATAGAGGTAAAAGCCATGAGCCTTGGGTCAGCACATAGATGAATAAAAATGGGTTAAGTTGTAAGAGCTAGTTAGTAACAAGCCTGAGCTATTGGTAGAGCATTTATAATTTATATTATTTGGGAAGCAGCTGCTGGTTATCTGGGAGCAGGTGATCAGGACAGGAAAACTCCACCAACAAATTCTTTTCTTTTTTTTAAGTCAATCTACAAATCTTTTTGGGGCTGGAGATATGTTATAGTAGTAAAACACTCAATCACCTAGCATGGGCAAGGCCCTAGATTGGATTCCCAACCACTGGCCCTCTCCCTACCCAAAGTGAGGTTAATTGCATTCATTAAAAAAAAAAACTCTTCATTATTTCAAAGTTTCAACCACTCTATGTACACTTCTTCAAGGGGTGTTTCATTCTAGGAGGTGGTCAAGCTTAGCAGGTAGGAACTCAATGTTTCTGTCCAGAGAAGGCAACAGGAGTAATGGGAAACAGATACAGTAAGGACAACCATAAGCTGGAGTTCAGCTGGAAAGAAATTGAGAGCTTGAATAAACTTGAAAGTTTCGTGGGCTTTGGACTAAGTCTGGTTTAGCTTGCACTGAGTCTGTCCTGTGTATATTCTATGGCCTGAAAGTCACTTTGCTCCTTGGGTGTAACATGTAGTCTTCCCACCAGCTGCTTGGGTCCCATTGTTACTTTAGCCTCCAAATAACACACAGGACGCTATATTAATTGTGAAGCTGTTGGCCATTTGCTTGATTTCTAATAGACTAGCTCTGACTTAATTATTAACCCATAATTACTAATATATTTTTCTATAAGGACTTATCTTTTCCCCCCGGGGATCACATGGCGACGACTCTCTTCACTACATTTCTCAGAATCTTCCTAGAGTCCTAGTCCCACCTATCTTGCTTCCCTATTGGCCAACAGTGCTTTATTTCTCAACATATACACAGAATGACTTCCCCCATCACTTGGGTGTTTTTGTTTACAGGTGAAATGGTACCAACATGCCTGCCTTTCATACTGTATGGAGGAAGGGTATATATGTAGAATTATCTAGAGAGGGGGAAGAGGAAAAAAGTGGAGAAACTTCAAGACCATTGGCAGAAGCTTGAGTGCCATCTTTTGAGTCAGGGGGAGCCTCAACTCAAAGCCTAACTGGGGATCGGAAAGCTAGAGGAGCTAATGATCAGGGTTTGAGCAAGGGTTCTAGGGGAAGGGGCAGAAGGGACAGAAATATTGAGTATGAATTAGGCATAATGTATATAGTGTTGAGGTCAGGCCCAGAGCTGCTATTCTAGGTGATGCTAAAAGGGAATGGCCCAAGCTAAGAGGAAAGCGGGCCTCTGGGAGGCTGAGGCGAGCACACAGAGGGCTCAGCTGTTCTGTCTTGGGTAGTGTAGTGCCAGAAACTGGGAGGGAGGGAAGCAAGATGCCAGAGAAGCAATGCTTAACGGGCAGGGGGAGGAAGGCTGGGGGTGCGGGGCTGTCCTGGAAAATGAGCTGGAGCAAGAGGAAGTGAGGAAGCCGAAGTCTCTCCAAGGCTGCTGGGCACACCTACAGACAGGGCAGTGGGAGCCGGACAAGGGCGTCCCGGACAACCAGCTAAAGGCAAACAAGCCACAGAGACCAAAGTTGCAGAAAGTGCCTGAGGCAGGGAGTCTGCAGAGATAACAAATCCATTTCTTCTTCCTGGAGGAGCAGCCAGCAGCCCTGTAGGAAGATGTGGCAATGAGACATGGTTCCAGCTGAGGTGATTCAAACAGAAGGACAGGGGTCACTTCCAGAGTAGGGGCTCCATACGCCACTTTAACCTACCTGTCTTCCTCCATGTTGTTTCCCTATATGGAACCTGGGTGCTCATGTCCAAGCTAACGCTGGAGGCCACATGTAGAACTCAGTGGGTTTGCAGGACAAACAACGCTCAGGTTCAAGGTCACCTGGAGAATAGAGCCCTGTCAATCCAGACATTCAGTTTAAACTTCATGCCAGCCACAATCAAACAGCGCAAAACAGACTCCCACAATTCAATAGTGCCCAAGTCATGAGCAATCAGGGTGTTGATTACAGCAGCTGTTGTCGTTTTAATGCGCTGAGCACGATGAGCTGGGGAGGTGCAAAGGGAGAGTTATAGGGGAGGGAAGAAAAAGTCAGAAGAGAGCAGAATGTAATAGATGGGATGGATACTTGACTTTTACAGCCTGCCCCAGGAGTAAAAAGTAACACTTTTTTCTTTTTACACAAAGCGCGCTACCTCAGGACCTGACCAGTCTTATCACCATACTGATTAATTGCTGCCATCTATTCTGTGACCTTGACTATGGCATTTAATCTTGCCTTAGTGTCTATTAATAGACACAAAAGAAAAACAATGATCAAAAATTTTCAGTCTTTCTTTGTTGCTAAAAATATTTTTATACAATATATTCCAGCCACAATCTCCTTATCTCCTCCTAGATCCTCCTCACCCCCCCACTCCCCCAGCTCCACATTCTCATCTTCCTCTTTAGAAAACAAGCAAACAAAAATTAAAACAAATAAAGATAAACACACAAGAAGCACACACACACAAACCACAAAATCAGAAACCATTATATATAAGTAAAAAAACCAACAAAGCAAAAAAAAATACCCAAAGAAAATAATATGAGACAAAAAGTCTACAAAACCTACCATTGAGACATTTGTGTTGGCCATCTACTGCTGGACATGGCCCCTGTCCTGTAGTGCGGATCACTCATCCAGTGAGATTCCGTTGGAGAAAACTGGTTTCCCTTTTCATGGGGTGTCAACTGTAGATATCTTCTTGGTTAGGAGTGAAGCCCTCTGTCCACTTGCCCCTCTCAGTCCTGGGACCCTGGCTGGTTCAGAATTCTGTCACCCTGTGTATGCTGCCATAGTCTCTGTAAGTACAGACATGTGTCTGTCCTGTTGTGTTTGGAAGACACGGTTTTCCTTGGTGTCCTCTATCACCTCTGGTTCTTATACTCATTCTGCCTCCTCCTCTGCATAGCTCCCTGAGCCTTGGAGGCAGGGGTTTGATGAAGACATCCCACTTATGAATGCGTGCATCAAAACCTCTCACTCTCTGCTCATTGTTCAGTTATGGACCTCTGTCTTAAATCTCAATGCTGCAAAAAGAAGTGTCTCTGACTGTGCTTGAGTGAGGCACCAATCTAAACAATCACATTTTTACACAAGGTTTCTGACTCCTTCAAGCTCCTACTCTCCAACACTCTCCAGCAAACACATTCTCTGTGTGTGTATCTCTGTCTCTGTCTCTGTCTCTGTCTCTCTCTCTCTCTCTCTGTCTTTGTCTCTCTCATTTGATATGGGAGATGTCATTCTTTTCTAAGTCACTGCCTGGGTTATTGAAAAGTAAACAGTTGACGAAGAGAACATTAACCTGGAAGGACATTATAACAACCACCTTCAGGGCAGTTTGAGATCACCTAAGAGTATCTGACTTTCCCCACTTCTCAGCCCTAACAGGTATGCTCCAGATAAAGAGGATGCTTCATTAACTCCTGTCAGTTCCCAGTATTGCTAAGATACTCTCAGCTTCTTATGTAAGTCATAGGCCAATGAACCAAGGTAGACGTCAAAGGCTAACTTCACAGAGACTCTGAACCTAATCAAGCAAAGACAAGGTGTGAACAAACTTCATCATAATCATATTGTTTTTATTTTAAGCAAATAGAGCTAACCATGACAGGTAAACTTAGCCCTTGAATCTTGGTCATAAACCTGCAGGCACTTCTCTTGTCCTTGTAGTATAATGCCAATGAGAAATTAAGTTAGAAAATCAACCTACAAATGAGTAGCTATCTTATAATTAGTGAGCACTCACCTCTGTATAAAAATCACATGCTGGGCTCTAATAGCAGACTTTATATTCACCCAGAGCCTTTTATCTAAGATGCTCAAAGCATTTCTTGCTGATGCCAGCCCTAATGTCTCCAGGTTCTTGTGAACCAGGACTAGGATGCCCACCCACAAGGCATCTTGGCCACTGCTGAAGTCAGAGACTTCCTGTTCCCCTCCTGAGTAATCGTGAATGGTATCCCTCCCCAACATTACTGTCCCAGCCCCCAAAAGACCAATGAAGGTACTTCTGGTTGAAGCCATGTGGTAAGTAGTGGGATGGAAAGGAAGATCTATCATTGGAGTTGGATTTGACTGCACATCCTGGCTCTAGCGTTCGTAAATTATCTAGCCTTTCTGAGCTTTGATTTGCTCATTTAGGGTTAAGAACATAAGCTGTTATGTACATTTGTCTGTCAGTCTTTGCTTAGGGGACACAGTGGTATTATCCTTCCATTGTCAACTTCATTAACTATTTAAGCTAAGTGATGTATATGTCAACACTGAGTTAAGGGTTTATAGGGGAATGCTGCCCAGAGGAAGCATCTAACAAACATCAGTGAAGATGTCTTGTTTTGGAAGCCAGCTTAGATTTTTTTTATTCTCATAAGATCATGTCCATTATTATCTCAAGTAAGGCTAATATACAGTATGAAAAGTTTTAGAGCCAGGCATGGTGGTCCATGCCTGTAACCCAGGTTCTTAAAAAGTAGAGGCAGGAAGATCAGGAGTTCAAGGTCATTCTTGGATATATAGCAAGTTCAAGGCCAGCCGGGGCTGCATGAGCATGTCTTAAAACACAACAACAATGATAAATCCTTAAGCACAATTATATATATATATATATATATGTATATATATATATATTCTCAATCTCCATCTCCCCTCACATTTATAACCAAAGAACTGTTAGAGATAGTATCATTTGGTTAAGTAACAAAGAAAAAGTTAGAATGGAAGAAATGGCTCAGTGGCTAAGGAGACTGGCTGCTTTTGCAGAGAACAAAGGTTTAGTTCCCAGCACCAAATGGTGCTCATAACCTTCTACAACTCCAGTTCTAGGATCTCAGGTGCCCTCTTTTGACCACCAGGCACATATGCAGTGCACATACACACATATAGGCAAATACTCATACCCATAAAATAAAAATAAATAAATCATCTTCAAAATAAATAAATAAAAAGTTATTTGTTGCTATGGTTTGTTGAAATTGTATTGTATATTTTAGAATATATTCACTATTCTTTATGGACTTGTTAGAATTTTTTTAGGAAGAAAATGCTTCATCCTTTTAACTATTTAAAAACAAAATAATACATCTTGGGCACATCATTTATTTTGCTAACTTCTTCCATAACTACCAAAAATCCAACCAAAATACTCATCAATCAAAACCTATAAAGTCAGAGTGAGTCCCCATTTTCCTGATTTGAGAGCAACTTTAAATATATGGATTTGGCGCTATAACAGCAGCGTCACATTTACACAGAACTTACCGGTCTAAAAGCATTGGCCAGCTCAGGCTATTGCAAGGACCAAAAAGGAAGAGCAGAGAATGAAGAGGATAAGCTTCTGAGTAGGAATGAATAGGTAAAAGTGTTAAACATTTATGTCGAATGGGAGTTGCATCACTAAGAGAGTTTTCAAAACAATCTCTCAGACCTAAGTTGCTCTTATTCACAATTCTAGAAGGTTTTCACTCCAATTTCTCCCATGATCAGCAAGTCAGAGGCCTGAGGACTCGTACCTATCGACCTGTAAAGCCATAGAACCAAGTCAGTTATTGCTCTGGCCCCACCCACCTCCCAGTTCACATTTTGGTTGGAAGTAGAAAAGAGAAATATAAAGAATATGACTAAAGGACATAAATAAAGAGTGTCCCTGGTCGTAATCTCAACAGACATCCAGATAAGTGAGAAACCATCTTCACTAGGCTGAATTGTTTGAAAACATTATAAAAGAAAACTGTGTTTTTAAAAAGTGAAAACTGACACCTTGATATTGTATGTGGAACCTTTCTATTTGACCCAAAGATGAATTTTGGACTCCTTACATTTTCTTTTGCAAGGCTAACAAAGTAGTTAGGACAGGGAAACCTATTAGTGCCATCCTCTCTCTCTCTCTCTCTCTCTCTCTCTCTCTCTCTCTCTCTCTCTCTCAAGTATGTGTCCATTTCAATGTTCAAGTCAGGCAACACTAATAGGTTCTACTAATTGTCATGTTAAAACCTAAACTGGAGCTAACTTTAGGGCTGGAGGTGAGTGTGACTTAGAAGCAAAGCACTTGCCTAGCATGTGAGAGGCATCAAATGGGCTGGAAAATACCTGAAAGGAATAAAGATTTCTCAGAAGAAAGACACACAGCTTCAGAAACCTCCAGATAGCTGGGTGGTGGCACATGCCTTTAATTCCAGCACTCAGGAGGCAGAGGTAGGCGTATCTCTGTGAGTTTGAGACCAGTATGGGCTGCAGAGATAGTTCCAGGAGAGCCAGGGCTACACAGAGAACCCCCATCTGGAGAAAAGAAAAAGAGGAAGAGGAAGAGGAAGAAGAAAACTTCATATATTCAAAATACACTGGTGGCTTCTCTGCACACACCTGGAAAACTGATTAATGGGAACTTGAGGTAGAGAGAGAGACATTTACAGAGTAAGCCTTTGGGATGTGTTCTTGAGCACAATCGTAGTTTTTAAAGTCTTCTTTTACCATGATAACCTTGTTTGTTTGGTTTTGGGTTTTCATGATAGGGTTTATCAGTGTATTTCTGGCTGCCTTGGAACTTTGTAGAGCTGGTCGGCTTTGAACTCAGAGGTCTGCCTGCCTCTGCTTCCCAAGTGCTAGATTAATGGTGTGCACCATGTCTGGGTCTATTATACTCTTTAAATAGTTTGAATGAAAGAGTGGAGGCGGTGTAAATAGAGTCAGGGGCCATTTTACTAGTTCCAGGCTATGGGACCTGTATCGGGACTGTTGCCAGGTCCACTCCACACCTGGCACACCTCAGCAGCACTGGCACCTTCCGAGGAACAGCTGTCCTTCCAGGAGGTTTCTGATGGAGGCAGGTGGAACCCTTGAGAAGGATGCCTTAATGAGAGGCAGGGCTCTATAGAACCAGGCCTACTCCACCCCTGCGATGAGTTGCTTTTGGGCCAGTAGAAAGCATGGACATAACTGGAAACAAACAAAAGTTATAGTTAATTTTCACTGGCAACTTGACTGAAATTACAATTTCCTGGAAGGGCTGAGGATCTACTACAGTTGGTAAAGTGCTTTTCTGGTATACATAAAGCCCTGGTTTCAAACCCCAGCACCATAGAAAGTGGGTAGCGTAGCATGTTCCTCTAACATCAGCATTTGGGAGGTGGAGGCAGGAGGACCAGGAGCTCAAGATTATCTTTGGCTATCCAGAATCTCCTAGGAGATTGATAGGGTCTACCTGTGGGTGTGTCTTCGAAGTTCCTTCTAAAGAGGATTAACTAAGACCCTCCTGAATGTGAGCAGCACACCCTGTGGGCTAGGGGCTGGGATGGAATAAAGGGGAGGAGACAGATCTAGAAAGGATTCCCTGGGATTCTGTGTCTGGCCCACCTTGATAAGAACTGCCCTGTTCTGCCACACCCTTCCAGCCAGGAGCGACGGACCCTCTGAAACCGGGAGCCAAATCCATTCTTCCTCCTTTAAGTTGTATGTCTCAAGCATTCTGTCACAGCAAGAAGAAAATTAACTAATGTAACACACACCCTAAGTGAATGGCACTGGCAGAAGCCTAAGTGACAGAGGCTAGGTGCAAGGTATTGACCCTAATCAGAGCTGGCTGCAGGACCTCGGAGAAGGGCATTCGTGGAAAGTGACCTCTGCACGTCTGGTTAGGAACTCTGCACTAATTTTACAAGAGGAGATACAAAAATAAATGGAGATGTGGAGCATTGTACTTTTGCTTGCAGAGCATGGAAGCAAAAATAAACAATGCAAACCCCAGGGATGGAGGCCAAAGCTGCGTCACCCAGAGCTAAAGGAACCGGGGTGGAACTAACTAGAGATAAAAGCCCAGTCTGGTTTCTGAGACGAGAGTTACAGGCCTCGGCTTTTTCTAGTCCCCTGGTGAACATAAGTTTAAAACAATGGTCAACCACTAATTACCTTTCCCTTAAGTAAAACACAAACAAGGAAGACAACAAATCTCTCAATATTAAACTAATGATAAATGTTCCAGGCAAGCAACTATTTGAAGGTACATCCTAGATCAAAGATCACAGAGGAAGGGCTCTTTCCACTGTTGCTTGGTCTGTAGTCTGGAAGACAAAAACCAGGGTTTCCCAGCCACGCAATCTTACTTGCTAATCAAGGACATCTATAATCCATCAGAGGAACTTCTTGGTATCATGTGGGACCAAGAATGTGATCTTCATTATCTGTTAATAGGGAATGGCTGGTTTATAGGAGCTCCTCCGTAAACATATCAATGTTTAAATGGGAATTTTGCCACTATGCTAAAAAAAAAACTGCATGAGATGCTAAAAGTGATGCAAACATTGGAAAGACACTTGCCCTATCAGAACTTGCATTCCAGGAAATATCACCTGAACTTAATGCTATAAGAGCAATAATCTAGGTATTCACTGTGTGTGAAACTCTACATTGTGCTGTCTGGTTTATGTAAACTTGACACAAGCCAGTGTCATTTAAGAAGAGAGCGTATTCCCATACCAGATTGTCCTGTGGGCAATGCCTTTTGTTGATTGATAATTGTTGAGGAAGGGCCCAGCTCATTGTGGGTGGTGCCACCCCTGGGCTGGAGGTCCTGAGTGGTATAAGAGAGCAGGTTGAGCAAGGCATGGGGAGCAAACCAGTAAGCAGCACCCCCCATGGCCTCTGTATCAGCTCCGGTCTCAAGGATCCTGACTCATTTGACTTCCTGTCCTGACTTCCCTCAGTGATGAACATGGAACTTGATAAAAAGATAAAACGATGGGCCTAAATTCAAATGGTGAAAAGACTTACACTTCAGCTATGTAAGTTCCTCTCTTAGCAACGTGAGCCTACCCACCTCATTAAGAGTATGTATGTATGTATGTATGTATGTATGTATGTATGTATGTTACACGTATGGGTGTTTTATCTGCAGGTGTGTTTGTGTAACACATGTACTCCTGATACCTGCAGGTGCCAGAAAAGCAAATTAAATCATTGGGGATTAGAGTCACAGATGGTTGTGAAACATGTGGGTGCTGGGAATTGAACCTGGCTGCTCTGGAAGAGCAGCCAGAGCTCTTAATCACTGAGCCATCTCTCCAGTGCCATAAGATAAGAGATCACCCCCAGGTGCCCCCACACCTACACACTTTGGTTTTTGAGGCAGGGTTGCTTTCTGTAACAGCCCTGGCTGTCTTGGAACTCACTGTGTAGACCAGGCTGGCTTTAACTAACAGAGATCTTCCTGCCTCTGCCTCCCGAGTGCTGGGATTAAAGGTGTGCACCACCGTGATCAGCAAGGATATGGCCTTAAATAGACTCACACAGTCAGGGTACATACACAGTACAAACACACAGCCACTATGTGCTGACAGTGAACTCAGGGTAGAAATCTGCACACCTGGCTATGTCACACAAGTCACACTGAGCTCATCGTGGCATAGCATTTTCCAGTTGGAACTAAATAGAGAAAGCTCTTTTTTTCCAGACCATCTGATGAAAAGAGACTGGACAGCCTGACCTTTGAAGTTCTAGTACATGTGGCTTCAGTCTCTTGGAATACCATGGTTTAAGAACATAAGCCCATCACAGAGAAACAACCAGAAAAAGAGATAAGAAGTCCAATGACATCAAAGACCATGGTTTCACTCGGTGGAGGCCTGGGAAATATCTAACAACCAAGAGGAGTTCTGACATGGCTTTTGGGCGATCATTTCTTTATGTAAGAAGAAAGTCAATCAGCACAACCTGGAACTTGCTGGAACTTCTCTCAGTTTTCAATGACACAACTGACACCTTTGCTAAATCAGGAGTTTTCAGGAACAGAATTAATATTCTCTCGATTTTGCATGCTACTCAACTATAGACATACAAATTAAAGCAGTTCAAGACAGTGACACAGAACAATGTGTTTTACTGTGATATTGTTACACAAGCATGTAATACACTTTGATCGTATCCCATATGCCCCATTATCCTCACTGGCCTCACCACCATCCTCTTTCTGATCACCTCCTCTTCTCTGAAAACCTCCTTTCATTAGACTTTAAACAAACTTTTTCTAGATGAGATTTTGCTATGCAGCCCAGGCTGGTCTAGAATTTGCATTCCTCCTGCCTCCGCATCCCAAGTACTAGTCTTCTGGGGCCTGAGATACCATGCTCAGTTATAGACGTAAAGTTTTAACTTTCATTTTACCACGCCTTTTCCATTATTTCCCTGAATTTAGACTCCTACACAGCCCATACATAGGTCTAATACATAAGTCAAGCCCTGACTTGCAGCATTTATCAATTTCAAAACTAGGGATGCTTCCACCATGGCCAACACCAAACTTCCATCGTGGAAGCAAGACATGTGACAGAATAAATCCTGCTGCACCATTCTATGGTGCTTCCACACTACACCGTGTAGATATAAGTAACCTGAAATGGAGAGAATGGCAAAACACAGAAAAATCATGAGGACCTGGTGGCGTTTTCGCATTTATTGCCTTTGTGCCTAGCATAATTTTTATCCATTTTTTAGCTTTAATAAATGATATTATTTAACAACTGTTGAAACTTCCCATCTCTGAAAGCCAATCATCTAACCTGTTTCACTTCATCTAAATACAAAGCACAAACCGTACCTCCCACCATGTAAAAACAGAATGTTTAGCTGTGGAAAACCTGGCAACAATGTGCAATGGTCCCTTTAAGAGTCTTCCCTTGGAGAATGTTTTATCAGCTGAGCAGAGGCTTCTTCAGCCCTGCAGGGGCTGGGAGGGTGTTAGCAGCTCACAGCCACAGGCTCCTGGGAGCCCAGCATCATTTTGTGAAACCTCACCCGGGTGGAGCCCAGGCTTCTCCCAGGAGAGGAAGTGGCCACAGGAATACCACGTGTGGCATTCCCACAGCAACTGATGTATGGCTGTGACTTCCAGGGCAAGGGAAGGCACAGGAGGCCACGCCCTGGAAATCTGTAGTTTCCACAGGTGGGGAGGACCCACAGTTTGTTCTGTGAGGCTTGAAGCATCAGGAATGGACAACAGAACAGTATTCAGGGCTGACTCTCTTACTCAAGTCTTTGTTTCTTTCCATTGGAGTTTGGAAAAACCTGCTTAAAGAGTTATTCCAACTGTTTTTGTCAAGCCTCTCATCTGTCTTCAAAAATATCCCAGAAGAGGAAATAGTCTATTTGTCCTAGAGACCAGGGTGGAAATGGCCAGGAAAAGTCTCCGCAGAGCACATAGCTGAAAAGCACAAGTGAGGCTGGAGAAGACTGGGACAGAAGTCAGTCGCTGGTCTACAGCTTTCTTTCTGCTTGTCCACAGTTTCAAAGAGGGGGGTGGGGTGGGAGGAGGTAGGAGGGCAACTGAAGTCCACTGCTGTGTGACAGCAGGGGTGAGGGAGGATGAGGAGGAGAAGGGGGGGCTATGAATAGTGAGAAAGGGCCTGTAGGACTGAAATTGAGGAACAGCAGGGAAATCAATTCTGTACTTCACAGCAAATCTGTTTAATGTGCATCCTCTCAGGGACCCTTCAACCATACATTCAAAGTTGATTAAAACCCTGAAATTCCTCATAATTGGACCTCATTAATGAATTCCTTAGGGTTCCAGGAGGCTCTGAAGAGGTAAAACAAGGGTTAGAGAGATGAGGGCAACAGGAGATTGGAAAATCCCAGATAGGGGAGTTAATCCCAGTCAGTCAGACTAGATGGAGACTTTCTGTTCACAACAACCTGCTCCCAGCCCTCCCCGCTCTCCAGCAGGACAGGCTTTTCCTCATTCACTGCCCCTTAACATCTAAACCCCCACATCCACCATGCTGACCAGTTAGGAACTGACATTCCTCTCCCAGATACCCTCATTGTTTCTGTCTTGACCAGAACTGTATGTGTCGACTTGACTAGGTTAAGGGATGCCCAGAGAACAGGCAAAAGGTTATTCTCACTACGTCTAGAAAAGACAGCATTTGATTTGATGAACTGGTTAGAGAAGATGCTCTCACCTCCCCAGGCTAGCATTATTGAATATGCCACATAAATATCCACAGCCCTTGATGGCTACTCAGAGCAAAAATGGGAGAGGAGAATTCACATTCCCTGTTTGAGGGGTCCTCCCTACTGTCTTCTACCCCCAAACATACCCCCTCCTTCCTTCCTCAGGCTTGGATTGGCACTACACCACCCGCTCTTCTGTTTCTCCTGCTTATGTATGGAAGACTGTAGAACTCAGTAGGTTCCGTAATTGCTGGAGGCAAATCTATTTCCACAGGTCTCTGCATATCCCATTGTTTCTCTGGAGATATTAGATAATACAATCCCAAACCTTGACTGAAGATACTGATTTTAACTTGTTACTGTTCTACATCGTTCACGATTAACAAATGAAAGCCAGGCTTGTTCAGTTTAAGAAGTGAGCCTGAAAGCCAGGGGGTGGTGGTGCACACCTTTAATCCCAGCCCTCGGGAGGCAGAGGCAAGCAGATCTCTGTGAGTTCGAGGCCGGGCTGGACTGACAGCCTTCAAAACAATACAGAGAAACCCTGTCTCAAAAAAAAAAAAGAAGAAGAAGAAGAAGAAGTGAGCCTGAGCTGCAAATACCCAAGGCTCAGATCTTTAGGAAAAAGAGGAAGCAAATCACCCAAGTGACGCTCAGACAGTCGTGCTAAGGTCTGAGCAAGAAAGGACCACACTCAAATGCAAGATTTGCCAGGACTCCAAAAGGTTCATGGCGTCTGTGCCACTAACATGTGAAGCCTTTTTCTAGGCAATGCTCACCTAACAAAACTGAGTGGCAGAGGAGAGCCACTGTCATTCCACCTCCTTTTCCAAAACTTACCAGCTTCCGTCCACAGGGATCCCAACGTCACTAGTTCCCAGCATGGTTCTAGATCAAAGGAAGAGTGTCTTCTATCAGATGTGATTTCTTTTTCTTGGTCCATGTTAGGGTTAAACTTCAAAGAAAAGTAGAGATGGAGGGGAAGGAATGGAGATTGTGGACGCCATGGTGATGGTCATCCTAGCCTTTCAGTTTCCCCCTGGCTAAATCTGTTGGCCATTCCCATCTCCACACTCAGATGCAACACTGATGAGGATAGCGATAAAGAGGCTATTGTTTACTTTTGGTGAAAGTCTCAGTAGGTACAACTTGTACATGTGGGTTTGGCAGTGTCTGGAAAGGTTAGAAAAGTTGATATGTTTGATCCAGAAATACCGCTGCTACAAATATTTCCATATATGTAAAAGTACACAAAGATACATACATGCAGAGATGGCCATGACGATTTTTGCAACTGAAATGCAAAAGGGCAGGAAGAGATTGGGCAGGAGAGCCATACTAGGAGGATGATGGGAAGAAGAGAAGAGTCTGAGAAGTCTCAAACTAGATGCAGGAGATGAACCCTGAGCATGCTGGACTGCAAGAATGTATCTTATCTACTCAAGTGGCAGAGAATAGATAAGAAACATGGGTTAATTTAAGTTATAAGAGCTAGTTAGTAATAAGCATTGATGAGATTGCTTATGCATTGTCCCCATCGCACTGAGGCATGTCAATTGTTCTAAAAATTCAATTTTATATATTTTCAAAAGATGTGTTTGGTTTTGTTTTCATTGGGATGAAGCAAACCCAGACCTTGGAATCAAGCCCAATAGGCTTTTAGTATTACTCGATTGCTTAATAACTAGACAATGTTAAGAAAGTATTCATCTCTGGTCTTCTTTGTTCATTTATAAGATAGAGACAATCCCCCATCCAATGGGCTGCTGCCATTGTAGTATGCTATCATTCCTATGAATTTCCCGGTCACAGTAGGCTATCAGGAAATGTTGCCTCTCTGTTTCCCTCTGGGCCTTCAGGCAATGAGAGTGATCCTTCCACACCACTCTCTAGCCATGGTTAACATCCTTCCATGGCTTCCCACAGCTCCCAGAATATGGTCCTATCACAAGATTAAAAAAAAAAACTTCTCTGGTCTCTTTCCATTGCTTTTTCTTCACACCTTCACTACACTAAATAAACTTATTTTCATTTGTCATCACTGGCCATGGTCTCTCCTTCCCTGTATCCACTCCCCAGAGCTTGCCCTGTCTCTCCAGACTCCAGGCTTACACAAGTGACTGAAGTTCCACAAGCCAGGGCAAAGCCCAGGAAATGTTTCAAGATTTCTGATCTCCCATGCAGTCAGTGTAGCTCAGCAATTCACTTGTCCATAAGCCTTTGAAATGATGACCTTATAGTCATCATAATAAATGTGACTAATGGTTACTGAAGCTCTGTTCTATGCCCAACTCTGGACCTTGCCTAATATATACTCTTCTTGGAGACTTTGTCCTTGGTAAACTTTTCCTATTGCGACCATCATTCCCACCCACACTCTGTACAGCAAGTCACTTTCTGTGCTCCTGGGCAAGACCCTTCTTCAACAAACAGACTAAAGAGTTCTAGGAACTCTGAGTGGCAAGCCCACCCTACTATTAATTTCTGGAAGCCTTTGCTACCCCTATCCCAACCTGGAAGAGAGATGAAAATACATGTTCACAATTCCACCTAGTAGTCTAAGATATTTTCTTACAACAACCCTCAAATTGCTACAAGTTTGAATCAGTTGCTCTCCTCCCAAACATTGTAAATCCATCTTTCCATCCCCCAAAGTTTCACTACCCTGTAACACCCTCTACTTTGTCACTATTTTTCAAAGTCCAGCATTCTACCTTTCATTATTGACCCTACAGAACTATGCAGCCTCAACATGAGTGTCTTTTTTATTTAGGTGAGTCACCTATCCAGGTCCTGGAACCTCATGTCAACCACATCCCTTCCAATCTCTTATTCCACGACTTGTTGTTATGCCAAGTCCAAAGTCTCCCCACTCCCAGACATACACAGGTGACTGAGGTTACATAACAAGCCAAAGACAGATATTCAAGATTTGTCATCTCTAGTCTAGTGTGGCTCAGCAGTTCATCTGTCCACAGTCCATTGAAGCCATGGAATTACATGTGTTAATTATAACAAAAGTGTGACTAATGCTTCCTGAAGTCTACAACATTGGGACTAAACAGTCTACAAGAAGTTTCTTATTAACCTTCTCAAGACCCTGAATACGTTACTGGTGCGGAAACTGGAGCTTAGAAAGATTAAGATGTTTAATCCACTGGTTCAATACAATGGAGGGTTAGGTTAGATCACAAGGCAATGAGATCTCAGCATATCAAGTGTGACAGCTGTGGCTTCTCATACATCGCCCCTAAAATTAGAAATCTCCCCAGTGACCAAACCTGTCTTTGTTTAAATAGGAAAAGAGGACTTACATCAACTAGGTGACATCCAAAGAACAGAAAAATAACACCATCCTCAGAGAATAGTCTCTTCAGACATTCCTCAAACGCAAGGACAAGTTCCTTCTTTCAAGACATCAGAAGCCACAGAGCTTTGGCCTCTGCCCTCCCTCCATCTTTGGCCTTGAATATGGTCTGAGGACAGTATGAAGTTTTGTGAAGCTTCTGGAGACATTTGCTGTCTCTCTTCTATTTGGGCTGTATCTCTAATTGAGTGATTTTATTGACAGTCAGTCTGATGTTAGAACTATAGGTTGTTGTAAAACATGGTTTACTTACTTCACACAATTCTGTGAATTTCTCATAAGTGTTTTAAAAAACAGTAAATAAATCACTTTATTGTTGAACTCTGAACTGAGAAATGGCCTTGGTTGGACTGGTTTCCATGTACTTCTGAATACGCTCACCAGCTTGGGACTAGCAGATCAAGACCTTCTCAGTCACATCAAGGTCTTTGTAACCCATGAGTAATGGACAGATTTGTCCACCAAACCTTTCACCCACTGAGGGAGCTCCAGAGGACAGGAGGCTGTGGGGGCTGAGAGGACCAGAGGCTGTGGGGGCTTGGGAGGACAGAAGGTTGCCAGCCAACACTGTGAACAAACTCTCTCCATGGAGAGGTCTCCTGATTGAACTTGTTCTGAAGCAGGGTCAGAGGGCTGCTGCTGGGTACATGGCTTCCCAGAAGGTTTGGAAATTCTTTGATGTGGCTATGGTATGAGGACAGGGCAATTCTTGAGGTCTGGTGGGCAGAGGAGGGCTCCAAGCACAATGTTAGGTTTGGCAAAGCTCAAAAACATTATGCCAAGACCTTTTGCCTTCACTTTTAAGTCCCTGCGCTTACTCAAAAGCCATTTACCAAGAACCTATTACTTCCCACTTCTGTGCCTGGTGCAAGCATGACGGTAAAGAAGACTGACTAGGCCTAAACACTTACCCCGCAGTAGAGAACGCCTCCTCTGTTGTGACAGGAGAATTCAACTTACACAGTTGTCTGAGTAATAAGACATAGGAGGAACAGTTTTATTACAGTACCTGTGAAGATGTGTCACATGAAGGGACCTGACACATGACACAGGACCACATCATTCAGGGTTGGTTTCATGGGTGAGTTAAAGGGGTTGATAAATTATCACCATGGTGGGTCTGTTAGTTGATTTGCACATGAAAGATGAGCTAATTCCAAGAATTCTCTAGTCTCAGACAAGCCAGTTTCTCCCTGAAAAGCAAACATTTTAAGACAGTAACTATCAGAAAATTTAAGAATAATAGTTACAGTGAGGTTTAGTGATACATGGCTGTGATCCCAGCACTGGGGAAGCTGAAGCAATATGCAGTTGGAAGTTTTTCTCTGTCTCACCCGGTGCTACTGGACCAGTTTCTCTCCTGCCCAAAGGGTCCCCACAGTCACTATAAAATAATCACTGAGAGGCTAATATATCAATTACAACTGTTTGGCCAAGCGCGCACATATATTACTGGTTAGCTCTCTCTTATAAATTAACCTATTTCTATTAATCTATGTATTGCCATGAGGCTGTGACTTACTGGTGATGCTCTGGCATGTTACTCTTTTGGTGACTACATGGCGTCTCCCTGACTCCACCTACTTTTTCTCTGTATCTTTGTTTGGATTTCCCATCTGGCTATTTTCTCCTAACCATTGGCCAAATCAGCTTTATTTATCAACCAATAAAAGAAACACATATTCACAGCACACAGAAGGGACATCCAACATCAGCCTGGGTTATATAGAGAGACCTAAGAATGAATGACTATTGTAACCACTGAGGTTTGGTATAGGCAACAGAACCTGCTCTGGATATCAACTCAGAAGGGATTAAGCAAAGGGATGGAATATTTACAAAATCGCTGAAGGTCTGAAAAGGAAGCCAGAAATAAAAAGGCTACTGGTACTGATGCACTCACTGGGCTGGAGACTGGACATGGGATGTAGTTGACCCCAGCACCTGTGCAGCCTATTTACCAGCTAAAGGACTTTACAAATTATTTTCTGAGTTTTAGAAAGGGAAAAATGAGAAGAAACATGGGACCACAGTCTCCTGTGCTTGAGAGAGCATGGTACAGTGGCCAGATGTGTTAATCCATGGAGCTGAGCCTTTTTGCCTGAGAAAGCTCTATTCATCCTTGAAGATACAGTCAAGATACTCATGGTCTTTCTTCAGGAACTCTGTGGGAGTTCCAATGGGAGAAGAGGTAATTCTTATTATGCTACCTGCCATACCTCTCCAAGGCTTGATGGGAAGCTGCATATGACCATTTCATGCCATGCAGTCAGAAAATATTAAGTGACTATTGAATGGATGGGTGACGCTGGGGTTCTGACCACAGACCCTGGGAAACAGAGAGGAGGCCTAGTAGAAGCTCTCTAATGTGGAATAACGTTCTTGTTAACTGTAAAGATTTGTCACTCCTATTGGTTTAATAAAATGCTGATTGACCAGTAGTCAGGCAGGAAGTACAGGCAGGTTTACCAGACTAGGAGAATTCTGGGAAGAGGAAAGGCAGAGAGGAGTCACCAGCCAGATGCAGAGGAAGCAAGATGAGAATTCCTTACTGGGAAAAGGTACCAAGCTAAGTGGCTAAACATAGATAAGAATTTTGGGTTAATTTAAGTTGTAAGAGCTTTTTAATTAATAAGCCTGAGCAATAGGCCAAACAGTTTATAATTCATATAATCCTCTGTGTGTTTATTTAGGACGGAACAGCTGCAGGACCAGGCAGGACAGAAACTTCTGTCTCCACCCATCTAGCCAGAGAAGCATCAAATGCACAGATCTTCTTTCCATGAAGTCTGAGATTTTGGATGATATACATGCATCTTCTCTCTGGTGCTTCAAGTTATTGAATAAGCGTAGCCTGAGTGAGGAGTTGGACGCTAGAAAAAAAACTACGATTTCTCTCCTATCACTCGGGTATACTAGTCTCTGGTGCAGTCCATGAGACTGAATTAGGAAGGCATGAATTTGGGGTCAGCCTGGGCTACATAACAAGTTCAAGCCCAACTGAGTTGCCTAGATGGCCTTATCTCAAAAATAAGCAGGAAGGTGGAAGAAGGGAGACAGAACAGAGGAGAATAAGAGAAGTGGGGAGAAGAGGGAAGAAAATCCAGCTCAAATGAGACAATGGAATAAGGAATATACTGACCTGCATAACTTAAGGGCCAGAGCTCTGGCTTCAGGAATCCTGTCTGTTAGGGTTCCGGCATTGTGCTGGCCTGCCCCTGTCACCTGGTAGGATGCATTCAGGCAGTACCCTAACCAGCCCATGGTCCTATGGTGCTATATCACTATGTAGCCTACACACAGGTGCAAAGGTCCCTTTAAGAGGCAAAGTCTGCCCACTTCCATTTCTATGTCCTGCTGTTTCTCTGAAAGGGAAAACAAGACTTTTCCTATCTATTTCTTTCTCTTCTTCTTCTTCTTCTTCTTCTTCTTCTTCTTCTTCTTCTTCTTCTTCTTCTTCTTCCTCCTCCTCCTCCTCCTCCTCCTCATCTCTCTGTCTCTCTCCCTCTCTTTATGTTCTCTCCATCCTCTCTCTTCCCTTTCTCTACTCCCTTCCCTTCTCCCCAATAAAACTTCCCACTTAAGCTCTGTCTGCCTCACATGTTTGTCCCCTACCATGGGATTTGCCTCGGTCCCATCTTGAGCCATAGTATAACATTGTCTCCACCTTGAAAGTTGTCACTTTGGCTCAGTTTTCCTCTGTGGATGCTTTAGTTAGGATTTCAGTTGTTGTGGTAAAACACTATGACCAAAAGCTACATGGGGAGGAAAGAGTTTGTTTCATCTTACACTTCCAGGAAACAGTCCATCACTGAGGGAAGCCAGGACAGGAACTCAAGGCAGGAACCTGGATGCAGAAACTGACACAGAGGCCATGGAGGAGTGCTGCTTACTGACTTACTCAGCCTGCTTTCTTACAGCACCCAGGATCATCAGCCCAGGGATGGCACCAAGCATAGAGGGCTGGGCCCTTCCACATCAATCACTAGTTAAGAAAATGTACCTCAGGCTTGCCTTACATGCCAATCTGGTGGGGGCAATTTCTCAATTGATGTTTCCTCTTCTAAAATGAGGAGGGAAGTTGTCAAGTTGACAGAAAAATAGACAGCTTTTCTCTCATGATAGCTTTTCCCCAGTGGTGGCAGAGGTGATTACCACAGCTCCTCAGTTAGACTGTACCCATTTGGCAGCCTCAGACGACAAGGCTGCTTTCTCAATCCTTTCAGCACAATCTTACCAGAGTCCAATGACGAGTCCCAGTGTGGTTCCCAACTATCCACTATGCAAATTCAAGAGAAGAAAATTTCACCTACTTAGTTTTGTCTACTCCTAAACCCAGGACCAGGTCTACGCCACCAAAGTCCATTGGCTGGATGAGTTAAGATGAGAGGCCATCAAGGCAATGCCAACAGAAAGAAAAGTCCAGGCGTGGGCTGTAAGAGTGGCAGATGTTCGCCCAGCAGGCTCTGACACTATGGTGTCTAAACAGCTAAACTACAGCCATTCCCACTCTAGTCTTAAGCCAGCTGCCTGAGGGGTTGCTACAGTGGAGAAAGAAAGAAAATGGCATTGTTTCTAGTCTGATGAAAGCTTGGAGAGAGAAAGGAAAAACCCCTGACTTTGAGGTCTTGAGTAGCGAAAGAAGAATGAGAAGGAAGGGGAAGATGCCTGGGATATAAATGTAATGAACAATAGGAACAATTAAGGAGGAAGTGCTTCCCCTCATTTGTCAGCAGGGCCTGTGAGGAACAAGAGAAGTCCCTTCCCTAGAGCGTCAGCTGCTCACTGCCTTTGCAGCCACCTCCAGGGGAAGAATGAAGCCTTAACAACCAGCATGGGGTCAGGGCTGGCCTCCACCCAAGCCTGAACAGTACCCCCATTGAGGGACCTCAGGGGCAATCCTGGATGCCTCTCCCTTCTCCCACTCCCCTCAATGGGCCATTTGTGGGATTCACAAGGACTGGGAGACACATTGCCCATCTCCTCCAAGGCCTCAACAGCTGCAGGATTCCTCAGGAACTCCTCAGGGCCCTGTACATCCTTGCAAAGAGACTAATGTGAGGGACACCGGATTCTGAAAAAGGTCTCCAGGGGCCTGCTAGATGAGAGGGGAAAAAAAACACTCCTCAGTTTGCTCCTTCCTTCCGGACCTTTCCTCCATTTCCTGAAGTAGCAACTCTTACACTGGCTTCCTGTCTTCCACCAGCTCGGAAACTCTGCCTGCCCCACCCTCCTTGCTAGCTATTGGAGACTAGAGAAGGGAGTTCTAATCTTTCTCAGGGGCTGAGATCACAGCTATGCAACCATAACCAAAATATTCTGTCTTCATTGTCTACTTCTCTGCTGAGCTAAAATGGACCCAGAAAGGGCCCATGTCCCCATTTCCACAAAACAAGAGGCAAGGTTCTACCATTTCCCCTGTGCCCTTTGGAGATAATTCCTGTCACTCACAGGAAGTCGACTAGCACAGTTTTCAGAGCAGTGAACACAAATCGTCCCTGACATTCTGCTTCCAAGGGACATAGGGATTACTTTGTGTTTTCATCCAAAAGATGCAGGTCAACCCCCTGCCTCAGTCTCTCCTTAAGACCTTGTTACAGGTGGAACCCATGAGAGATGGAATAGTCTACAGGAATAGAAGCATTGCTCTTTGTGGAGCTGGGGAGATGGAAGGCGGCTTAGTCAGTAGGGGGCTTCCATCTCCAGCACCTGCACACAGTCTGTGCGTTGCAGCACAAGCCTCCAACCTCAGCACCAGGGAGGCAGAGACAAGGGGATCCCAGCAGCTCCCTGGGCAGCCAGCCTAAATAAATTGGTGAGCTGTAGGTTCAGAGAGAGATCCCGTCTCAAGAAGTAAGGAGGAGGGTTGGAAAGTGATTGAGAAAAACTACAACTTCTGGCCACAGACACACACACACACACACACACACACACACACACACACACAAGCACACATGCACACAGGCAGACATGCACACTTACTTGGTAAAAATTTACCAAAGCATAACAGCCCTGGACTCCAGATGTGAAGACTCATGTCATTAATATTCATGTGGTCGTTCTTGTTGATGGCATAATGAAGGGAAGGGCTGCTCTGGAGGCAAACTGCAGGCCTTGCAATGGACAGAGTCTGAAGAGGAGAGCTGGTAACAGCTACATGCTTGCTGCTCTCACTGCCTCTGTTAGTTAGCTTTTCTTCTTTGTCATTGTTACAAATCAGAAACTATGCCCATAAAGTTACTGCATCCATAAAGTTATTATACAGACTGAACAGGTCATATTTAGGAGTATATAGGCATACACATATACATATACACATATGATAACATGACTACCCAAATGTGAACTGAACAATGATGATACCAAAGAACATGCCATACCGGATGGAGAAAAGCACAGAGGCCTCAGCCTACACAAAGAACTATGGGCAAATGAGGAAAGCTGGGAGCAGGAGAGGTGGCCTTCCCCAGGGAGAAGCACACCAGTTGGTTGTCCAGGGTCAAATGTTCAGCCCTAAAACACACATACAGGTGGCATTATACAGACTGACTAGCTTGTATTTAGGAGTGTATGCATACATACATATACATTTATGCATACAATAACAGTTAAAAAAGAGATCGTGAATTTAAAGGAGATCAGGGAGGAGGACATGGGCAGGTTTGGAGAGAGGAGGGGGGAGAAATGCTATAATTAAATTATAATCTCAAAAGAAAATTTTAAAAACCACCTGGCAGACAGAAACTAGTTACGATATGGAAGGAGATATTTATTTTAGCTTGTGGTTTCAGATACTCCCAGTCCATCACAGCAGGTGTGGCAGTTAATTTTGACTATCAACCTGTCAACATCTGGAATCTGGAAGAAAGCCTAAACAGCTGAGCATGCCTGTGAGGGACATTTTTGACTGGATTGTTGAGGTGGGAAGAAACACCCTACGTCTCTGGCAACCCACATATAAGGACATGGAAGAAGGAAGCTTTTGCTTTTTGCCTGCCTGCCCTTACTCTTGCTGACAAGTTCATCCATCCTGCTGCTGAGTCTGAGTTCACTGATATTACAACCTATTTCCTCTGGGTTCCAGTATAGATTGAAGACCTGCAGCTTTCTAGGGATCTTCTGGGACCCTGGCACCAGACTGGGACTGGATAACTACTGGATTCTTGGCCTTTCTTTGCAGAGACAGCCATTATGGGACGACCTGGACCTCAGCCTGCAAGCCACACTAATGCGTCCCCTTTAATGTGCTCATCCATTCTACAGCCCCTTAGAGAATCTCACTAGAGAAAGGATTCAGCAGGACCGGCTCAGTCTGGCAACAGGAGTTGGGCCAGTGGCTGTTCACCTGGCAACAAACAGGAAGGAGGGAGCTAGATCAGAGACAGGGACAGTTATAACCCTTGTAAAGCACTACCGCCAAGTGGGCTCCACTTCCTGCAGGCTCTACAGATGCAAATTAGCAACACAAGCTGGAGACCCAGGCCTCCAAGCCATCCTGTGGAACCATTCCCAATTCCAACCACATTAGCTTCCCTGATAGAAAGCTTGTATCTGACCTTCTCCTCCAGGACCCAAGGGGCTCTCGGCTGCTAGCACAGACATTTTGTTTGTTGTTTGTTTGTTGACAAGGTATTGCTATGTAGCCCAGGTTGGCCTTGTGAACTCACGGTCCTCTTCCTTCTGCTGTATGACTTCTGGGGTTCTAGGCATGGGGTTCAACGCCACTTTTGAACAAATCTTACTCATTAGAGAATTCACTGCTTCTGTGAGATCACACACGGACCCTGGCCTTGCCCAAATGCAAGACACATTTCATTAAGTTCCATTAAGTGTTCAACCTTTCAGACAAAACTCCCATACAGAAATCACTCCTGCCCCCTCCCGAACAAGTCCATTTAGTGCCAAATTATGACTCCTTCTGTTTATTGCCCCACAGCTTCATAGATGATATAGCTACATGCCTCGTATCACTTGGCTATCTCCAAACTTATTTGTCTATATTGGACCCTTTAAAACTTAGGGAACTCAGCCAAGGCAAGCAAGATTGGGTTAAAATCCACACACCAGGGCCATCCTTGATAAGGAGGGTTCTCCTTGCTCCAGTGCACCCTACGACTTCACTCTGATCTTGTGACTCTGAACTCTCCTAGTGATAAAACTCGTGAGGTTTCTCACATGAACTTCTCTTAAGCCAGTCAGCTGATATTCTTAAAACCTAGAGCCCGATAGTCATTTCTCCTTTAACTCTAATATCTTGCCAGCCTGTTCATCTAGCCGGTGGAGCTCTTTTAGGTACACTCATAGAACTAGTGGACTCTCCCAAATGCATTGACACCTATGGAGACTTGACCACGCCTTCTGATTTCATTCAAATTGTTCACAAGAGAGGAGGTAAAGCTGAGAAAGAAGACCAGTCACTGTAATGCCATGTTCAAGCCTCTAACCAGGTAACATACAGCAATGCCCAACACTGGAGACTTCCATCCTGCTTCCCACCCCCAGAATGTAGTGCATATAAATCACCTTATGGTTGGTCATAGCGTGGTGTTTGACATTTTGACAATTTTGCAATTTGACTTTTGGGTGGGATGATGACTCATTGCTCTTTCCTGTGCTGTGAACATAGACCCTGTGGGCACAGAGGCCACTGCTTTTTAATTACTCTAATGCATTATATAACCATCTTCAGACTTTCAAACAAGAATTATTATTTTTATTACTGTTGTTGTTGTTGTAACCTTACCAAATTCCATGAGAGATTCCAGTCAAAATGACCCTCAAATCCACACCAAATCTTCAATGCTATATTTCCCTAGAATTCTCTACAGAGATACCTGCTTCCTGCAGGGAAGAGAAAGTCACGCTCCAAGTTATGTGCAGACACTGGAAGGGATTCCATGTCTGCTTTCCTGCTCCTGTGTGCTCATCACATGACGGTGGGTTTCCTTGGCCGTAAAACTTGTGCACATGAAGACACGGCAGCTCTCTGGTGGAAAGTGTTCAGTTTAAATACAGAAATCCCATTTGTGAAGGTCATGTGAAAACGCAAGTGTATCTCCATCAGATGTTTGGCCTCAGCCATTCCCCAGCTTCCTGACAAACAGAGGTTGAGTGTGAGCTGAAAAATGGATTGAACAATAACATGGGAATAAATAATTGCTTATTTGGAGCTTAATGGAGGGGGGGAATGTCACTTAATGTCATGCTTACGTGCTTGAATGCCCACACACCCACACAATCTCTCTCTGTGTCCCCCTCTCTCTAACACACATACACAGAGGTATGCATGCTAAGTTTAGATTTTAAACTATTATAATTATGGGATATATGGTGCAAGCGGAAGCCCAAGGAATTATATTACTTTTGGAGTTCAATCCCAACACAATGTTAATTCATTTCCTATAAGATCTTATTACAAACAACACACGGGATTCATGTACCTTGCCACCTTTCAGTCCTATAAAGTAGTGCTTTCTAAGCTGGGCCGGGTGACACAAGCCTGTTGTCCCAGCAACCAGAGGCTGAAGTAGGAGGATTGCTCCATCACAGGAATTGAGACCCTGACTTAAAAACAAACAAACAAAAACCCCAAACATCACCAACAAAAACTAAGCCTCCAGAAAGAGTTCCTATTGCTCCTTCTTCCCAAACCCCTGTCCTAATTCTAACGCAGCCTTATCACTCTCTTCCCGGAGCTGGTCTGGTAATATATTACCTGCCTAATTTATTTCTCAATCCATCACTTCCCCACAAGGTTGCCAAATCCTTCCCATATAGCAGCTGTCCGTCCATCGCCTCCTCTGCTCCTTCCTATAAGGTCCTAGTTGTCCAGGCTTCGGGTCACCTTTTCTTTTGCTATGTCAGTACAATCGCTTGAGCTGTAGGAGTCTGGGGAGTGTGTCAATATTTCAGAGGCTCAGCCACGGGCCATTCTTCCTGAGAGGTTGCCAGTGACTCCACTCCACCCCCAACCTTCTGATGTTTATCAGTCCTGTCTCTCTCTTGGCCACGCTCTCAGCCCTTCCTCCTCTCTTCTTGTCTTCACATCTGTAAGGCATACTCCAAGTGAGGCCGTGTTACACACAACACTTCCACCGAGGGCTTGGGAAGGGGTTGTGATGGAACACAAAACCCCGGGCAGCACTGTTGCCAATGGCTGTATGTAACGGCTCTTCCTGCCCAAGGCAGTGTGCCTGAGCTCCAAATGGACCTCCTCATACTGATTCCACTTCTTCACTCACCGAGGGAAAACTCAGTCTCCAAGAAGAGGAGGGGGGATGGGGAAGGAGGAGAAAAAGAAGGGGAAGAGGGAGGGAAAAAAGCAATGGTAACAAATAGTTTTGTTTAAAAAAAAAAAGCCTACACAATCCTGAAACACTGCTACCCCTATAGTCAGGCCTTTTGGCAGTGACTTAAATTTAGGGGCAAACAAAAACAAATGACATAAATTTCCAAAGTCACTAGAAAAAATTTAAAATCACAGTTTATGATGTGATGGCCTTCAGTTCTTTGTTCTGTTTATGTGTTTGAGGTAGAGTTCAGTGTACCCAGTCTGGCCTTGAACTTGGTTTGTAGCTGAGGATGACCTAGAACTTGTGATCATCCTCCCTCTTCCTTCTGAGTGCTAGGGTTATAGTTGTGAGCCACCATGCCTGGCTACAGTCTGTGCTGGGGGTGGAACCTGTGGCTTCATGCATATTAGGCAAGTGTCCTAGTTAGGGTTTCTATTGCTGTAACGAAACACCATGACTAAAGACAACTTGGGGAGGAGAGGGTTTATTTGGCATATGTTTCCATATCACTGTTCATGGATAAAAGAAGTCAGGACAGGATCTTACACCGGGCAGGAAACCTGGAGGCAGGAGCTGATGGGAATGCAAAGGCCAAGGAGCAGTGCTGTTTACCTGCTTGCTCCTCATGGCTTGCTCAACCTGATTTCTTACAGAACTCAAGGCCACCAACCCAGGGATGGCTCCCTCCACAATGGGCTGGGCCCTCCCCCATGGATCACTAATTAAGAAAATGTTCTATTGGCTTGCTTACAGACCAATCTTATGGAGACATTTTTTTTCAGTTGAGGTTCCCTCCTCTCACAAAACTAGTCAGCACAGCAACTCACACTACCAGTTGCATCACACCCCCAGCCCACACTCAGCCTTTAATGGTATTCTGACTTTTCTGAAAGAAGGAGCCTCCAAGCGGATATTTCCAGATTCTTTCAGTGATGGAGAAATTACTTATGTAAAGTTAAAGAAAATCGTAACTCAAGACTTCCATTTCTGCAAGGAGTCCAGAAAAGTGAGCCAGATTAGCAACAGAGATTACAAAAGTGTGTTGTCATTGTCTATACCTTCCTGTGCCTCTTAAGGCCACTGGGTAATCCCCACTGCTTGTGACCAGGAGACCACTGAGAATTATTGGGGTGGAGACTAGCCTGAAAGATGGAAGACTGTCTTCAGAGTGCTGCCTACCTCCATCCCAGAGAAAGGTGTCATCCAGTAGTCTCAGCCCAAGCATCACCCACCACCCACCATGGAGTCCCGTGTGGCCATCTGTACTCCTTTCCCACCAGGCAGCTGACTGTCTCCTCCAACTCCCAATATTCTGCACAAGCCTGTCTCAGTCCTCATGTCTACATAAGTCAGGGTCTCTGCGATGGGCAGATACCATCCTCACAGGAAGAGAGTTTAACACAGAAACCATGAAAGACAATCACACTCCAAAGCAATGAAGACTGGTTTGTTGCCTCTGGAAAGTAAAAAGGAATGATGCTGTGGAGCAGTCTTTGTACACTGTAGATATGTGTTACTCTCATTGGTTAATAAAGAGCTGACTGGTCTGTAGCTGGACAGGAAGAGACTGGGCAGGAGAGTCAGACTAGGAAGATGCTGGGAAGAAGGAGGGTGGAGCCTGAGGAATCTCGAACCAGATGTAGAGAAAGCAGGATGTGTAGGAAATGAGGTAACAAGCCATGAGCCATGCGATAGAACTTAGGTAAGAAATACGGGTTAATTTACATTAGAAGAGCCAGCTAAAAACAGGCCTGGGCTATTGGTCGAGCATTTATAATTAAGACTCTAAGTGGTTATTTCGGAGTGGCCGGTGGGGCAGAGCTGATTGGAAGTCTACATGGAAAATTCTGCCCACAGAGTGACTCCCATGGGTTCTTAGGAATGGAAAGGGATGCTGATCAGGAGCTGCAATCTTTGGGAGAAGAGTGTATTCACCTCAAGCAAACACTCAGAAAAAAATCTAATGGCAACCCTGGCCACTGAGTTTCCTTATCACAACCCAGCCAGGGGCAAGGAGCCCTTTGATGTGGTCCGTTCAGGTCTACTTCCATGGCAAAAAAGTAGGGGAAAGGTAGTAAGCACGCTTGAAGAGCGAACCCCAAGCACTGTAACACACCATGTCTTGACTAGCAGCACTGGCCGGTGTCTGTCACCCAAGGGCCTCTCTTTTCCTTTAACACTGCAAACACAGGATAGAAAGTCACTCCTGTGCGCCTCCACCCTTTCTCCAGAGCACGAGGGATGAGGCTTCTCCTGGGCCTCTCCCTGCTGCCCCCTGCCTGCTCCCTACATTTTTGTCCCTCACCAGCCCACCGCCTTCCATTCTGCTTCATCTGCCTTCTCCTTTCCCTCAAGTCAGCACGAATGGCAGGGGTATGCTCTGAAGTGTACCTATGAATAAAGGGGAGCAGGCGAAGCGAGGTGAGCAGCAGTGTAGAATAACGAACCACTTGGAAAACGATTTTACAGTACCCTTTTATTCTCCACCATGAAGAAAGAAGGCCTACATTATGGTCACCTCATCTTCTAAGACCCCCCATCTTATTCTTTTGACAATTTCCTTTAATGCTAATCCCTACAAACCAAAATTCTCTTATGTTTCTCATTGTCTAAACTTTTGACAAATTTTATAAATAAAGTTTTATTGGAATCAGGGTGAGAAAATGAGGCAAGGACATATACGTGTAGGGTCTAAAGCTCTCCTTATTTAAACTTTTCATACTTTGTTCATCATGAGTTTCCTCATTCATTTTTATAAATATTATATGACAATACTAATTATTTTAATCATTGAGCTTGGGATTTTTTCATTTTTTGTTAGTTTTTTTTTGCATTCCCCTTTTAAAGTCATACCCAGAAAAATTATGACCCTCCTAATTGAGGTAGGTTAGAAGAAATGATTCATATTTCTATATTAGATGTGCTTATTAAAGAGCTCTTCCAACCCAAATAATAAATTATTTTCTCAAGTCATTACAGAACTGTCCTCTGACCCAACCTGCCATCACTTTCCTGAGTACAACTGAGCCTACTGCAAAAGACGATCACAGCTGGGTGTGTTGATTATTGGCAGTCTCTATTCCTCCAAACTTGTTATATGCAATTCTATCCTAACTGCACATAGCCTCATGGAGGGTTAGACGTCTATAGGCTTGGAAAGACAATGGAGGGGGCCCATTTATGAAGCCATAGGAAGCCATCAACCATTCTGGGCGCAAACCTTCAAGTGTGCCTGTTTCAGTGTCACAGATGCTCCTTCTTTGTAACCCCTCACCCAGCCTCTGGAAGCAACTCCAATACACTCATCGGTCCCCCGGTCTGAGCTCTGGTGGAAGTGAACTTGGATTTATCACTGGGACTATAAAAGGAAGGGAGTTAGGCTTGCCTGGTCCCCTCCACCCTCTACCACCCAGAGAAAATCCTCACAGGGTCAGTGAAGCCTTGCCTTCAAGTTCCCACAGTTGTGAGAACCTTCTCTTGTAGTCTCCCTCATCCGGGTAGAAAAAGGATGCCTTGTGTATCCCGGATCCCAGCATCTGGTTTACTAAACAGATTCTAAATATTTACTGAGTACCAGGACTCAGTATAAAAGTTTGCAAATTGAGCAGGGTGACCAACACTACAACTACTCAGGTCCAGAACCAGGGTAATGGGTTGGCACACGCAACGTCAACCCCATCTGTGATCTTCTAGAACACATGAAGAGACCCATCCTGCAGATCCAAAGTTGCAGGATCTCCACAACACCGGGCAACAGCAGGATAACCAAGAGGAGTCCCAGGGAGGGCCCAGGATTGATAGTGTAGCAGAAACCAGAGGCTTCGAACCAGATCAATGACTGTTTGCAATGAACACTTGCAAGTAAAGATACATGGATGAAAGAGTTTACCGAACGTCTCACTTGTCACGCTACAGCTTCTATAATAAGACTGACCCCCCTCCCCTTTTTCTCTTTTTCTTTTAAATTATTTTGGCGGGAATGTTGCAAGGACAGAGGACGGATACAAAGGAGATAAATGGGATTGAGATGCACGATGTGAAAGACACAAGGAGTAAACTTTTTAAAAAGTTTTCAAGTTCAATCTGCTGATTAGTAAACACAGTGAGGACTTTTCTTCTTGTGTCTATAAAAATCTGGGCTCCAAAACCAGCTGCAGAGGGCAGTGAGATGATCTACTCCAACCTTCACTTCATGCATTAGATGGTTGATGCTGTGTCCACGGCCACACTTGCGGGCAAGGTGGCCAGGGCTCACCCAGAACAATTAATATTTCCCATTCTTAGGTACTTAGCAGCCCATCCAAGAGCTTTTGATAAGACATCAGTGGGGAGAACAGAGCACAGTTCCTCCAGGGATTCGGAAGTCTCTGGGCTAATGCAATGCTAATATTTCTCCCAGCATGCATCTCAGAGCCTGGAATGGAGGCTCATTATACCGTCACACACACACAGGAGAGGCTGGCCGGGGAAAATCACTGACACCCAACCCAGTGACCCGGGTGACAACAGCTTTCTTCACAAGTGCGATACAGAAATAGCAAGATGGAGAAGCTTGAGTTTTCCTATCAAAGCCAGAAAATCTGTCCAAGGTAAAGGTATCATGGGACATTTACAGGGCATGCAGCAGTGCCGAGAATGTGTGAGCCTTTACAACGAATTCACTGTGGAAAACTTGCCAGCCCCGGCAAGTGGACAAGGGTCCTTTCACCCCTGTGCCCAGGACAGTTTGGTCAAAGGACATCTAGGGTGACTAATCTCCATATCCCGGAATAGCCCAGAGAACTCGTCCAACCTGACTGTCTGCCTTAAAAAAAAGAAAAAAGAAAAAAAAAACAGGCCTTTGGAATTCTTTTTTCAGCTCTGCCTCCTATATACCAGAATAATTCTTCAGGAACCTCTCTGGTGACCTGGTCTTCACTACTGACATTCCCCCAACAGATCCACCAGCCCTCAGATACACCCAGACACTAATAATAGATCCAATTAGATTTAGTGACTCAAAACCCATGAGGCTGAGGCATACATTGCATACACACACAGCCCAGATGCTGCAGATCCAGTTCGTCCCCTGGCAGAAAAGACACCAAACTAACCTTGGGAGCAAACCTTTTTCTGAACAGTTATCATGGCAACAGGAACTCTCTCTCTCTCTCTCCCTCTCTCCCTCCCTCCCTCCCTCCCTCCTTCCCTCTCTCTCTCTCTCTCTCTCTCCCTCCCTCCCTCCCTCCCTCCCTCCTTCCCTCCCTCCCTCCCTCCTTCCCTCTCTCTCTCTCTCTCTCTCTCTCTCTCTCTCTCTCTCTCTCTCTCCCTCTCCCCCGGGCACCTGCCAGCTGGTAGGGAGCGTGGATCAGCCACCACTATCCGAAGCCACTGTGCTCATCTCCCCAACAAAGGTGCCAACAGTGCCAGTTGGCCTCATGATATGGATACCTGCCCACAAGGCATTGGCTCAAAGATTGGGGACTTTCACAAAGGCCAGCCAACAGCTGGCAGGCAGGAACTACCAGGTCATTGTCATCTGGGGCTGAATTGGAACACGCATGCAAGAACACAAAGGCTGTGTCTGTAACCACAGCATGGCTCCCTCCCAAGCAAGGGTTTTGTTTTCAGCTCCAGGTCCTCTGCTCCCGGAAGGGCGTGCAGCTGAAGGTGCCTTTTATAGGCCGCTCCCCCTTTTTTAGCGCTGCCCTGCCTTATGCGTGCAAGTGTAGAAAAGTTTCCCCTGCCCCACGTCTCACTACTGCAAGTGAGAAGGTTCACAGTAAGTCACCCCAGGCCAGTGGGATCAGAGGTGGAGTTGTAACCAAAAGCCGTGTCAGACTTCCCCTCCTGGCCCCACACCAAGGCCTCCAAGGATTTCTTGTCACATGAGGTTAGTGTAGTTTCATATCCTCTAAAGCAAAGCTCTGTCGAAACTCTCTAGTCTCACATGGCACCGGCTCAAAACAACCACCACACTCAGTTGCCTGGCTCACTGTCTCAAGAGTGGGTCAGGAGATCCGGGTTCCAGTGTCTGCTCAGCCTGCACGACCTTGACAAGGACTGGCCCTCAGTTTTCTTCATCAGAAAATCAAGAGGCCAAAGTAGCTGTCATCGGGGCCACTTTCCTCTCTTCCCCGCCGTCCTCTCCACCTCAGTTAAAAAAGAAGAAGAAAAGAAGGGCTTTCCCTGATGCTTTTAAAGGAAGTTGCTAACCCAAGTATCTCGAAAGGCTGATTTTTTTAAAATGGGCATCTCGAAAGTATTAGGTCAAGTCAAAGAATCTTTATACACAGGAAAGCACATGTTTTGTGATTGCTATAACACAAAATTCCTAAACAGGCAAAGCCAACCAATGGTAAGGAACACACACACACCCACTCACACACAGAGAGAGAGAGAGAGAGAGACTGAGAGCAGCAACCAATAGTAAGGAACACACACACACACACACTCACACACACACACAGAGAGAGAGAGAGAGAGAGAGACAGAGAGAGAGAGAGAGAGAGACAGAGAGAGAGAGAGACTGAGAGCTATGGACTGCCTCTGGGAGTGTGGTAGGACCAGGAATTGAAAGAACTTTCTGAGTTGACACTATTACATTCTACCTAGGAATGTTTGTGTCACACAGTCTGTGTCAAAGCTCATAGACTACTGCTTTTTGGATGGATTGATCAATGCAATGAAGTAAGAAGAGTGAAATGTGGAATTAGAATTAGTGAGCATTTGGGTGTTCTTGACACAATGCTGAGGGAAAGGCATATACTCTAAGTCCCTGGGCCGTCCACTTCATCCTTCCCTCCACCCCATCTCTCTTTCGTGACACCTGGCCTTTTCCTCTTGAATGAGTCAGTGGGAGTGGGCAATATATCACTGGTGTCCTATAATGACTAACCACTCTATCACTGCCTAGGCTTCAAGGGCAAGGACAAGTTCTCTGCATCTAGAACTTGCCCTTGACCCTGACCTTCCTTGGTTCCCCAGTGCTGTTGGTCTGCATATGGGGTCAGGTCGCCAACATAGCATGTGCCTCTACTCTCTGATTACCGACATTTTTAATATGCTTTCAATTAACACATCCAACTTAAGGCATTTTAAATCTAATTCTAAATGTAATCAGAGTGTATGTTTTTATAACCACTCTAAGAGTTAGTGTATTAACTTCTCAGGGACAGATTACAAGCATATCTTTTCTTAGACTCACTGCCCTATGAGCCCAATACACACACACACACACACACACACACACACACACACACACAAACACATTAATTTTTGTGATCACGTCCCTTTAAGATCTCAAAAGCATTCTTTGTCCTTTCCCAATTTGATTACTTCTCTCTAACATCTTTAATATGAAAATGCTTCAATGGTAAGTAAATTCTATGCTCTGGGGAAAAACACTCACACTGGGTCTGCACACAAGCAGCTAATGTTTGTCAGTGTCGCTCATCATACCATGTGACTGTCACAAAATGGATTCAATCAAGAAGACAGAAATGGGGCAACACTTGGGTTCAAATGCCACCTTTGTGACTTTGAGTGGGTGACTTCTAAACCTCCGTTTCTTCAGACATGCACATCGTCAGCATCGAGTGCCGGTATGAGAATGAGCTAGAGCCATGAAGAATCTTGAAAAAATGCTAGTTCACAGGTCTGTCAGGTCAAATTTAGAACCTGCATTGAGAAGTTAGAGCCATGTTGCACTGATGAAATACCGGTCCCAGTCACAGTTCTTAGCTATGCCCTTGTGGTGTCCCCCCTGACCCGACTTCAGCCCTGCTTCTCAGAGAGAGATAGTTCCTAGCTGTTTTGTTTTGACTTGAGTTTTTGTTTTTGTTTGTTCAGGGGATTGTTTCATATGCCCATTTTAAAGGCTACAACTTTGAGGAGAATGGGAAGAGTTCAGTCAGTAAGGTGCTTATTATATATACAGGCCTGAGGACCTAAGTGTACTCTCCAGAGCCCACACAAAAGTAAAATAAATAACAAAGTGTGGTGGCGTGCACCTGTGATCTGTGATCCCAATACGGGGACAGTTGAGACAGGAAGGTCCTTGAGGTCCACTGTCTGTCCAGCCTGTCCTGGTTGGCAAGTCCGGGGTCCCAGTGAGAGACTATATCTCTAAAACTAAGGTGGATGGCTCCTGAGGGAAAAACCTCAAGGTTTACCTCCAGCCTGCACAGGCACCTACACACACACACACACACACACACACACACACACACACACACGAAAGGACTATAAATTTGATAAACATCTCTCCAGAAACTTGCTCCCACTTCAGTCCAGAGCCCACGCACATTTGTTAAATATTAACATGAAGTCCCTTTCATGAAGGCTTTTATGGATCAAGACATCTGCAACCCAGCACCAAGCAGAGGTAGCGATGCTTCTCTTTTCCCTGTTTCTGCACCAGTAGATCCCAAGGAGCACGAGTGTAAGCAGGCCCTCTGAGTGGTCGGCTAACTGAACAGGCTACCAGCCTGAATCCTCACCTAGAAACCGTAATAAATGTCACAGGAACCAGGGAAGCAGACACTCGGTTCCAAAGTGCTGTTCTGTCCCAAGTGAACTGACCAGCACTGAAGCTGGAGAGAGATTTCAGCATTTTTCTGCCATTGATTTCTCAACAGGCGGTTTCCTGTGCTTCCTACTGTCAAGCTTAGCTCTCAAGAGTGGACTCTACTCCACAAGACTGTCTCAAGGTGTTGCTGGTAGCCACCTTGACAAAAGTTTACATGCTGCGTCTGCAAATTCATGTGACATGGCAGTATCTTCTGTGTGTGTTTGTGACCACAGCTTCAAATAAACAAATCAAAAGAATAAAATAATAGCAGAAGAGAGGGGGGATGGGGTAAGAGATTTAATTTCACCATGGTTACATTGGTGGAGGGGCAAAATTTAAAAAGCACAATGTAAACAAGGAGAAAGCAAAACAAATCAAAACCCACACAAACAGGAACCTTAGAATCTGTTTTAGACAAAAACATCCTTTCCATTTTGCAGAGGAGGAAGTTGGCCCTCAAGGAGGTTTTAAAGGACATATTATTTTCATAAATATGCATGTGTGTGTGAGTGTGTTTCACCGTAAGATTATGTGCATCATGTGCAATCAGATACCCATGGAGTCCAGCAAATCAGATACCCGAAACTGGAGTGATAGGCAGTTGTAAGATGTCTGATGTGGGTGTTAGGAACCAAACCCTGGTTCTCTGCAACAGCAATAAATGCTCTTAACCAGTAATCTACCCCTCCAGCCCTTAACAGAAGGTTTATCTGAGAATCCTTGGGCAGGTGTGTGTGTGTGTGTGTGTGTGTGTGTGTGTGTGTGTAAGAGATAGAGGGAGGAAGGGAAGGAGGGAGGGAGGGGTGGAGGGAGGGAGGGAGAGGGAGAGAGAGGGAGAGAGAGAGAGAGAGATGGCCTCATAAATACTACATTCCAAGCCTCTCACTTCACAGATAATGGAAATGAAGTGACTATTCTGAAGTCATACAGTTATTAGTGGGACTAACTCCATATGTATTTAATTTATCCTCTGGAGAGAGATAGCTTTGGTCCCTTCCTGTCTCCATCGTCCATTTGCTTCTTGACATGTGGTCAGTTGGTATCTTTTCTATTTGTATACAAGTTACTGTATCAGTACAGGTTAAAGGTACTTACCTCTTTAAGAGATTAGCACCCGTCTTGGAAATGCAATAACTCCCCAGCAGAGCTCACTGGAGTTTGCACTCACCCAGCCAGGTTATAGCTCGGTGATTTTAACTACCTCTCTGTATTTATAACCACCCAAGACTCATCAACCTTGAGAGGTAACTTAATTAGCACCTCCAGATTCTTCCCATGTGCAACCGTGTAAATAAATTTGGATAACTAATAAATAAGGGTACTAAACAATTTCAATAAAAACATCTCTATTAAGACTTACAGAGATCATTTTAAGCTCCTGCCCTTGGTGACAAATTTTTCTTTTATTTAATGGCTGGACAAATATTTAAATGCTAACATGTGCCTAGAACTTTCTAGGTGACGGAGCCACCACAGAGAAGAACTTTCTTGCCTTTTAAAATCTACAGACTACAAAAGGGTAAAGGCATGTCAGATGTTGACAAGTGCCACAGAGATGGCAAACAGGGGAGAACAGAGAGTGGGCACCAGGCCGCAGCGACACAGAGGGGTGATCACTGCATGTTGTGCAGACAATGGTCTTACTCATAGCAGGTGGAAAGAAATGAGGGAACAAGATGTGGAATAAAAGATTTGCGTCCCCCTTAGAGCAGTGGTTCTCAACCTTCCTAATGCCGTGACCCTTTAGTACAGTTCCTCATGTTGTACTGACCCCCCAACCATAAAATTATTTCCATTGCCATTTCATAACTATTTTTGCTACTGTTATGAATCATTGTGTAAATATTTTTGGAGATAGAGGTTTGCCACAGTGCTGTGCCCCACAGGTTGAGAACCACTGACTTAAAACATTGTGTTGAGAAACAGCTGTAGCATATTACTGACCTGTTAGAGTCATAT